TGTGGCTTCGTTATTACAGACACTCGATTTGTGAGCGCAATGGCACCGGTTCGAATCCGTACCTGGAAGAATACTTATTTTATTAGTTTTTTGTGATCTTCATACATGACAGTGGAATGACCTGCAGGTGGACGGACAATATCCTGAGGAGCCGACGTAAAATAAGAATACTTAGTCATTTATATTCATAATTAATCTGCCGAATGTGTGGATGCTGACTGTACACATTGTAATTTCTCGTGCAAAGGGTTTCCGTTAAACCAATAAAGTCTTTTATTTTTTATTTTTTTCGCTTATTCGTATTACGTGAAAGAGAGGGGAAAGGGCAGGCCTCTTGTGACGGCGTAGAAATTGTTACGCAGTTTCAAAAATTACCGAGTAGTGCCCGATCGTGTTCATATATAGAAAGATCGACATTGTCTTCAAGGTGTCTGTCTGCTCATCTACGAAAGGTAGAATGGGTGACCTGCTGTTAGAACAGCGCTCTGGCAAAAATATGTAGTTTCCTCTTTCCAGCCACTGCGAGAGCACCTCCAGAAGTCGCGACACGTTTTTCACGCAGCACAAACCATGGGCGAATATTTCGAGCCGCTTCCGACACCACCAGCATTGCGAGCTAAAGTTTCATCTGACGCGTATGCTTGCCCAGCGCACACCTCGTAAGTGGCCGAAAGAGTTTGGGCTAATATCACCCCCGATAAGGCTCAACTTTTGTCTGACGTCACAGTTAGCCATGATCGACCGGCATGTGGTGGCTTCCGAGCTACTGTTCCCTTTAATGCGTTAGCTTCCCCTCATCATTCCTCGAAACCGGTTAAAAACGTTTGGACCCTTAATCACCCATGATAAGGCTCAAAGTTTGTCTGATGTCACAGCTTACAATGTGCGCCATCTGTGCTTCTATAAGAGGCTTTCGAAACTAAATTTCCCCCTTATGCGCTCCGTCGCTTTCGCGCAATGAATAGCCAAAAGCAGCAGAAAAACTTAAGGGCCTTATCACCTGTGATAAGGCGCAACATTTATTTGACGTTACAGCTCACAGTGTGCGCTGCCTGTGTTTATATAAGAGGCCTCGGAAACTAAATTTTTCCCCTATGCGATCGCTTCCCCGCAATGAATAGGCAAAAGCAGCCGAAAAAGTTGAGGGCCTTATCACCTATGATAAGGCGCAACTTTTATTTGACGTTACAGCTTACAATGTGCGCTGTCTGTGCTTATATAAGAGGCTTCCGAAACTAAATTTCCCCCTATGCGTTCGTTTTCTCGCAATGAAGGGCCAAAAGTAGCCAAAAATGTTGAGGGCCTTATCACCTATAATAAGGCGCAACTTTTGTCTGACGTCACAGCTTACAATGTGCGCCGTATGTGCTTGTATAAGAGGCTTTCGAAACTAAATTTTCCCCTATGCGTTCGCTTCCCCGCAATGAATCGCGAAAAACAGTCGAAAAAGTTTAGGGTCTTATCACCTATGATAAGGCGCAACTTTTGTCTGACGTCACAGCTTAGAATGTGCGCCATCCGTGCTCACATAAGAGGCTCTGGCAACTAAATTTTTCCCTATGCGTTCGCTTCCCCGCAGTGAATAGGCAAAAGCAGCCGAAAAAGTAGAGGTCCTTATCACCTGTGATAAGGCTCAACTTTTGTCTGACTTCACAGCTTACAACGTGCGCCATCTGTGCTTATTTAAGAGGCTTCGGAAACTAAATTTTCTCACTATGCGTTCGCTTCTCCGAAATGAATGACCAAAAGCAGCAGAAAAATTTAGGGGCCTTATCACCTGTGATAAGGCGCAAATTTTATTTGACGTTACAGCTCACAATGTGCGCTTTCGGTGTTTATATAAAAGGCTTCGGAAACTAAATTTTCCCCCTATGCGTTCGCTTCTCCGCAATGAAAGGCCAAAAGCAGCCCAAAAAGTTGAGGGCCTTATCACCTATGATAAGGCGCAACTTTTGTCTGACGTCACAGCTTAGAATGTGCGCCGTCTGTGCTTATATAAGAGGCTCCCGAAACTAGATTTCCCCCTATGCATTCGTTTTTTCGCAATGAAGGGCCAAAAGTAGCCAAAAAAGTTGAGGGCCTTATCACCTATGATAAGGCTCAACTTCTGTCTGACGTCACAGCTAGCCATGATCGACCGGCATGCTGTGGCTTCCAAGCGAGAGTTTCCCTAATGCGTTAGCTTCCCCGCACTATACCTCGAAAGGGGTCGGAAAAGTTTTGGCCCTTATCGGTCGATATGCCACTGCTGGCAGTGATCATTACTTTGCTCATCTTTCTTTCCTCGAGTGGAATAAGTGGCCCGACGCATTGTCTTGGTTTTATTGCGGGGAAGCCAACTTCCAGTCGCTAATTGTGGAGAGTTGTTTTTTGCGCTGGAAATTGGACACTCGCGCCTGTGCCTTTGTAGCTGTAGTGAGGCGTCCCCCGAAAACCATTGGTTGAGCCGGCAGGTGAAAGTGAAATAAACTTCATTTGGTCCTGGAGAACCCGATGCGACGCCCCCTGATAAGGGGTCCGCCGCAGTTGCTGGCCGCGCCCGCACCGGTATAGGAAGGCCATGGCCCTCCACACATTCGCAGGCGAGCTCTCTGTCCCGCTCTCTGCCGGTAGGTCACCTGATCTCGCCTTGTCCCGCCATATGTCAGCGCGCGCATTTGAAATATTGGGGCGAATTGACATTACGTGGCTCCCGCTGAAACGCGATCGGTGAGCAGACAGGTCACATGATCTCACTTTGACCCATCAGGTGCATGCGCGCGCATTTTAACGCGATAGCGTTAAAGAGCTCGTTTCGCAGAAGTTCCGGTGTCGGCTTTGGTCTCGGAGTCGTTGGTTGTGAGCGAAAAATTATCCTATGCGTGATCGAGAAATCGAGAAAGATGCAAATGCAATAAATAAATTATAAAAATAACCGTGGTGCACAGTGGGGACCGAGCCATGGTCGTTGAGGTCTGAGTGGAAATCGAACCCGGGTTGTTTGCGGGGCAAGCGGATGTTCTACCACACGGCCATGCCTCTGCTTGCGAAAACTGTAAAAAGAACTTCCTCTGCTTGGCAATGCAGCTTTCATGCTTCACCAACACACGCATCCTCTGTATATGCTTCACAATGCAACCTGAAATATTGCAGTATTAATGTGTGGGCAAGCGTCAATTGCCAACGGGCGTCAGAAAACGTGACTATCATAATGACTCCGTGGATGTGGATGAAATTCGGCACCCCACAACAAAAGGCACAGACGCTACTGCAGGTCCGACAGCAACGTCCGACCCGTTCTGGCAGCGGGTCGGACGATGCAGTAGTTCTTACAGCACACAACGTGCGACATGTGTTTCTAAGCATTTTCAAGCTCCTCCGGGCCGACCCAGCGGGAAACACGCCTGTCCGTACGTTCTTCTTTAACACAACACGCATCTACTTCGTTTCGCAGTATCGAACCTTTCCCTTCACGTGGCTGGAGTGAGCATCTTACACACTTGACAAAACGCCAACGTTTCCTTCTCCCCAGTGTATGTGAAGCACAAGAATGCGTTTCATCAGCGATATGTATTTAAAAAATACGTGGCTTGCAGTGGAAGTGCGATGCTAAAGAGACAGCGGACCCGTAGGTAGCCATGGCTATTGCTCTTTTGCGATGTTTCGCTTTTTGTTTCTTTCTTGCTCGCGAGCAAGTGTTGGTTACCGATGCTACATTGACCTCGACCAACGCTTAAGCGCAGTCGATGGTCGCTACACCTGGTGCGCAGCAGTGTTAAAGCGGGCTGTGTAAGAACGAATAGTGCCTACACGGTTGTTCACGAGCTGTCACGACAGTCGCGTTACCTTAAGTGAAGCTGAATATAGCGTCTATGAACAACACTTGGTCGCAAGGGGAGATCGGTGGCATCACGAGCCCACTACCACCTGCATTGCAGTTCACTCTGAAGAGGAGTGCGAATGCCGGTTAATAATGGCGATACTTTTCGATCTACGAGCACGGTTTTATGGATAGCTTAGACAGCTTTGCCGTAAAAAAAAAAATACGGAAGAGCAATACTATGATCGCTTCGTTAAAAGGTTTCGTCATGATTGAATAAAAGCTGTCACATAAGTGAATGTTTTGGTGACCTGGAGCACTGCACCGATCTGGAATATTTCGTCTTGACGAAAATTTATTGCCACTCACAAGTCTAGATGACTACGGGATGAGCTTTACTTTGTCTGGATCGTCCGAAACGCTGACGAGTTGTAGAAACAAGAAGGCAGACGCCACACCATAAAAAATCTAGCAGTGGCTTAACTCTGCTATGCCAGGATACCGTGAGCTGAGGGGGAACCGCTTAACTCAACGTTTCACGCAAGGCATTAATGACCGGCGTCAAGTTTTTCATGTTCCACAGTCTTTCACGCATGTCGCACACACATAAAAACCATTTGTTTACGAAGTCTGTCGCAAAAGTCGGAGTCGCACTGGCCCCTTCACCGTATAGTCATTCAATCGGTGACGCCGCTTCACTCCGGTGTCTCTGTAACCTTTTTTTTTGTGTGTGCGAGTTCGCAATTTGTTGCTGTAGCATTCATTCCTTCGCCCTTATGGTGATATAATGCACAATAAACGCTCAACAAGCTCTCTGAAGCAAGAGTACTGAAAGTTGGGCGAGTTGGTGCTGATTCATAGCTAAAACTTGCGCCCGTACTGCCTGTCTTTTCTCGTCCGTGCTTTTTGTTGCGCAAGTTTTAACTATGCATCTTTCTGAAGACGCATTTCCCTTTCGTGTTTCACCGATTTATAAATAAGAGGAATCAGCCACGTTTTTTTTATGTAGTCACCTACTTCCTATGCATTCACGTTAAAGGAGCGCCATGTTTCGAAATAGTTTCATTTAAATGAGAATTCAATTTCTTCTATTTTGATATAGTCGGGTGTGACTGTACGAATAAAGAAAGTGTCAGTGACAACATGTGTGCTTCTATACTCACCGACTAGCGTTCCAGCTGAAATAAAACAAAGCCGAGAAGAAACACATGAAAACGCTTCCTTTAATCTACAAAAAATAGCACGTAGTCATGATGATGTATTCTTTTAATGTTCGACAATGATTAACCTAACCACTTCGACGAACCCTTGTTCCGCTTGTCACCAAAACGATCAGCTGGTGAACGCTGCAGACATTTGACGGACGCCTCCAACGGACGCTGGACTGATGTCGCAATACTGCCACTTCTACCACTGTTCTTAAATAGTGAGAGACCAGAAGGAAGCCATGAGCGAAATAAACACTTACGACTTGTAAGATAAAAAAAAGGCGCATCTGCCCTGCACATGGTCCTGAAATGCCCCATTTATCTACACGTTTTTTTTTTTCTTGCTGTCGGTGTAACGAACTGCACGTAAAATGAAGTCACACCACTGGCAAGCAAAGTGACGTGCACGACCAGCGTTCACAGCTCGACCCGGTGGCAATGCGTGGGCAGATAGAAAAGATATACAAGGGCAGGCGTGAGCGTCCATATTGCCGTGACATGGTTACCATTCCCTTCTCGTTGACAGCATCTAACTGGTTCTAAAGCGCAACGGAGGAAGCCGCTTGTCACGTGAAGCTCTTCCTCTTGCCTCTATGCGCACTATCATGTAATTCGGTGAGCTCCGAGAAGCCGCAGTGTGAAAGAAAGACACCCGTCGAGAACTGAAAGTTAAGAGGGGTGAGAAACACAACACGACGAAATCGTGGCCATCTCAAGCTTAAAACAGGGAATGGCTAACACTTCACGAATCGTCTAGTGTTCGGCTACCCTCGTATGTCTTTCTACCGGTACCCACGCTATAAAATGTCCTACTTATCAGTCCCACAAGAAACCAGGTCCGGCCACTATGGCAGATTGCATGAAGTCCGGTGGAAGACGGGCCATCATGTCTGGTGACGGCGTCTTGTCGCACTTGAAGTTCTTTCTCTTCCTGCGACAGAAGCCGATCTTGGTGTCGAAATAATACTTGTCGGGACACTTGAACAGCTCGGCCTTCTGGGATTTGCCACCCGTGCAGCGGTAGAAGTGGACGCAGTCGCCGTCAAAGGCGAAGTTGCCATCCTTGTCGCACAGTATGAGGTCATCGAGCTTTTTGGCTTGGCGATTGGAAGGCGTAGTCATAGGCAACATAGTGCTGGCTGCTAGCGTTGTCGGCGCTTCGGTCGTTGCGGCTGGAGTGGACTCGGTCGTCATCGGTTGCAACGTGGTAACTGAGGTGGTGGCTTCTGACGACGTCGTTGCTTCAAACGGCGTTGTCACCTCTGCAGTTGTTGCTTCCGAAGTCGTGACCTGAGGTGTGGTTTCATACGCCGGCACAGTTGTCTTGTCAAAAGGCGCTGTAGTTGCCTCGATTGGTTCGGGTCGGGGCCGAGGTTGCGGCTGTGGCTGCGGTTGTGGCTGTGGTAGTGGCTGTGGCTGCGGTTGCGGCTGTGGCGGTGGCTGTGGCTGTTGTGGTGGCTGTGCCTGTGGTTGATCGTCACATGGTGGGGCATCGTGAGGCCAGTTGCAAACACTGTATCGCTCGTCAAACACGAGGCCAGCAGGGCAATCAAAGTGAACTGCTGACAACCTGCCATCCTGGTATGTGTCCACACACCGGTAGAATTTGTGGCAGTCTGCAGGATCCCGTATGAATCCCTCCTTGCTGCATACAGATGAGTCGGCCGGCCGGGGTGGAGGCATCGGGTGTGACGGAGGTGGTCGTGGCTGTGGCGGTTGTGGCGGTCCGGGTTGCGGCTGTTGAGGTGGGCCAGGTGGCTGTGGTGGGGAGGGACCGCCAGATGGCGCGCAGCTTCCGGCGGCACTTGGGTCTGATAGACCACCGCATGGCGGTGCATCGTGCGGCCAGTTGCACACACTGTAACGCTCGTCGAACACAAGACCTTCCGGACAGTCAAAGTTGAACACAACGTATCTAGCATTCTGGTAGAAGTCCACGCACCGGTAGAACTTAGTGCAGTCGCTTGGATTTCGAAAGAAGCCAGTTCTGCTGCACTGGGGCCTGCAGCTCTCTTCTTGTGGTGGTTGGTTTGGTGGTTGGCTGGGAGGCTGGCTTGGCGGTTGGCCTGGAGGTTGGCTTGGTGGTTGGCTTGGTGGTTTACTTGGTGGTTGGCTTGGTGGCTGACTTGGTGGTTGGCTTGGTGGCTGACTTGGTGGTTGGCTTGGTGGCTGACTTGGTGGTTGGCTTGGTGGTTGGCTTGGTGGCTGACTTGGTGGTTGGATTGGTGGCTGACTTGGTGGTTGGATTGGTGGCTGACTTGGTGGTTGGACTGGTGGCTGACTTGGAGGCTGGCTTGGAGGCTGGCTGGGAGGCTGACTTGGAGGCTGGCCCGGAGGTTGACTTGGAGGCTGGCCGGGAGGTCGACTCGGTGGGTGGCTTGGTGGCTGGCTAGGAGGTCGACTTGGTGGCTGGCTAGGAGGTCGACTTGGTGGCTGGCTTGGTGGCTGGCTAGGAGGTCGACTTGGTGGCTGGCTGGGAGGTTGGCTGGGAGGACGGCTTGGAGGCTGGCTGGGAGGAAGACTAGGTGGTTGACCTGGAGGCCGGCTTGGCGGTACAGGTGCCGCGCCTATAGTAGGTCCTTGTCCTTGTCCACCTTCACAAGGAGGCGCGTCCTGTGGCCAGTTGCACACACTTATCCTCTCATCGAAAACCAAGCCAGCTGGGCAGTCAAATTCATAAACGACGTATCCTCGTCCGCTTTCCGATTGGTCGACACACCTGTAGAATCGGTGACAATCCTGAGGATGCCGGAAAAATCCCGAGTCGGGACACGAAAGACCTGATGCTTCAGGGGTCGTAGGCTCTTGAGGCCTCGTCACGTCAGTGGCTGGTGGTGCTTGGCCAGGACCTTGCTCACTACCACCTGGAGGACCTTGTGGTGGTAGCGGACCTGCTGCATAATTTAAACAGAAGTAGAGTTAGAGTATGCGAGAAGTAAAATGAGAAACATACGTTTATGAATATTAATATTGGTGAACAATATGTGAGCGAGAAGTTTGTGGATTCAACTCAATTCTGCCCCGGTGTCGTCAATTGATGATACCACACAACATGTTTCCTAGAACCTCGAAAACGAAATAAAACGTAATTATTCTCGGAGAATTATTTTTTGAACTGTCCTCACTGCGATCGACACCTCTGTTTCATTTTTGCGGACCTTGGAGTCGTAAAGAAAAAGAAGCGTGATCTAAGTCATGGGTGATTGCGGGGCGTGCAAGCAGAGGTGGAAAGACGGCGTTGTGCGGATGAAGTCCTGAAGTTGTTTTAAGAGCTTCCACATTGTCAAAAATTATGTTGGTTCAGATTTTGTGTACACTAGCACATAACGTGAATAAATTTGCCATTCGTTTGTCATTTCTTGACTACAGGGTCATGGTGACCTAATTTGTTGTTACGTTAAATTAATAATACTTACACCACTGACAGTTTTTTTTATTTGTGGTCGTCTGAGGTCATAAATACTAGTAAAATACGTACTAAAATGTTTGTCACCAAAATAATTATTCCAGGAATGAAAGAGTTAATATTGCGATCAGGTTGTGGAACATGGCGTATTCTGGATGAGATCACCTTTTGTGTAAACATTTATGAACAACTAAGACGTGGAGTATGAGTCAGCCAAATCTCGTATATTTAGTATCCGTCACTGGATTGCCCGTCCAGGTTTCGGTTGCTCAAAAAAGGTATCATTCCGTAAAGACAGTTAGCATACCGGCTTGAGTATGAAGCAAGGTGTGGGAGCGGGCAAGTTGGTATTCCATGACTTGGACACCTGAAGCGCAAAAAGGTTACAACAGACTAAGCAAAGCGCGTGTCCTCGTTGTTTCCTTAGTCCGCCATTACCTTTTTGCACTTCAGCTATTGAAGGTCGCAGGTTGAAAAGTATAGAAGAAACAGTAGAGAGTATATCTACGAATTCAGGCTGTAACATTTGCAGAGCGCATTCGAGCACAGAAGGAACGTTATCTGTGGGTTATCCTGTATATAAAACAGGAACGATTATAGCACGAGGGTGTAAGTATAACTGGTGGTGTGCTGCCATAAGCGTGTGAGTTAGCCATAGCCACTTCACTGAAAGAAATGCGCTAGAGCAATGCTGAAAGGTTCGTAAGGAAGATCAGGACAGTCTCATTTCAGAATCATTTCTTCGATCATAGTTTCAACCAAAGTTCTTGTTTGGCTTAAACTTTGGGCATAATAATAATAACTGTTGGGCTAAGCTTCCCAACACCACGATATGATTATGAGTATAGTGAGAAATAAGATGTGGCTATAAGGCACATGCTTTAAAAAGTGATGTGAAATCCTGTCAATCGAGGCCTTCGGCAACAAACAATGATTGCAATGAATTGCTCTTCTGACGTGTTAGCTGTATGAATTCAAATTCGCCAGCAAAAACAATACACACGGGAGCACAACGAAAAGGACAAGTGGGACATGCTCACGCTGCAAAGTGATAGTTCCTTCAGGGGTCTCCCACCGGTGCACTTTCGCGCTTTCAAACTCTAATATCTGCAACGAACTAGCCTAACTCATTTTCCTTTCCTCCATTGACTTCTTGTACCCTGGGTAACGTCATTCCTACAATATTTTGTCTAGAATTTGTTCCTTTAGGCGTCAGTGCCATTTTCTATGACTCCTTTTTATTGCACCTTATTGTGATTGATTAGCGCACTACATTAACGTTTTCATCATTGTGCAGGCATTCAAACGACTGTAAATTTGGAATACGACTTTATTTCAATCACGGGCGGGTATGGAGGTGGATTCACGGATAACTTTAAAGATCCACTTGGCAGCTTTAACGAAGTGACTTCCCATTATCAGTTGTCTAGGCGAAGGTACCCGCTTCCTCATTCTAAGCTCACTCGGCCGCAGCCGTTGGTTCTTCGGATGCTACAGGTAGGTTCATTCCCATCTCGTAGCACATTCATTCACTTTGCTGATGGCATAACTCCAGGATGCCCTAGTTGTGAGGCACATAACTGCACACTCGCTCACATGCTCTGACAGTGCCCGGCGATACATGGCTCAAAGTTCAGCACAGAAGAAGACTGGGAGAAAGAAGACCTTGGCCCTCTGCCCATTCGCAAGCCAGTTCGCAGGCCAGAAGGCCTGCGAACGGGCGGAAGGCTATGGTTTTCCTGTCCCGGCGTGGACGCAGCCAGTGACTGCGACGGACCCCTCTCACGGGGGTGTCTGACCAGTTCTTCATCACCAAATAAAGTTCATTTCATTTCACTTCACGGGTCAGTCAGCATGAAAAAATTTTCCATTGAGCTTTTTTGCACACTGCATTATTTAGTTTCGTATACAGATATGAACGAAAATGTTATACCTGGTGGCACTGGTTGTCCTTGTGATGGCTGGCCCTGGCCTGGCTGGCCCTGGCCTGGCTGGCCCTGGCCTGGCTGGCCCTGGCCTGGCTGGCCCTGGCCTGGTTGCAGTACCTGTTACTGCAGGAGTGCTTTCAGTCATTGGACCAGTAGTCCCCGGAAAGATGCTTGGAGTTTGAGGCGGGCTCGGTTGTGATGTTGGTGGCTGCATTGGCGTGCTAGCGGGTGGCGGCGTCTGCGGTGGGCTGGGAGGACGAGGTGCAGGTTGTCCAGGACTAGGCAGAGGTCTTCCACCACCAGTGGGAGGTGGTCTCTGTGGTGGCCTGGGAGGACGTGGTGCAGACTGTCCTGGACTAGGCTGAGGTCCTCCACCACCACCAGGTGCAGGCATGCCAAGGGGTGGCGTTTGGTCGCAAGGAGGCGCTGCATCGGCCCAATTGCAAGTACTGTACCGCTCGTCGAATACGAGACCTTCGGGGCAGTTAAATTCGTATGCCACAAAACCGTTCCCAGTGTCAACACATCGGTAAAACCTATAACAGCTGTCAGGATGTCGGAAAAATCCTTCTTGAGGACATGGAAGCCGGTCAGGTCCTCCTGGCTGGCCTGGTCCAGGGAATTCTTGTCCTGGTTGGCCTTGTCCAGGTTGCGCAGGTGTTGGTTGGCTTGGTGGTCCTTGACCGGGAAATTCTGGCTGACCTGGTTGTCCTTGCCCTGTTGGTGGAGCTGGCATAGGTTGGCTTGGTCTCCATGGCTGTCCTGGTTGCCCTTGACCTGTACTGCCTGGTCTTGGTTGGCCTGGCAATTGATCTGGGCGACCTGATTGTCCATGTCCAGGCTGTGTTGGTCTTCCTGGTTGCCCTGGGGCTCCAGGCTGCCCAGACCCGACAGGAGAACCACCTGGCTGACTAGGCGGAGCTAGGCCTACGGTAGGTGGTGCCACACCATCACATGGTGGTGCATCAGAGGGCCAGTTACATGTGCTGTAACGTTCATCGAACACCAGTCCCTCTGGACAATTGAATTCATAAATCACAAAATTACCTTCGCTGGTACTACTCACGCAACGATAAAATCGATAGCAGCTTTGAGGATGTCTGAAAAAGCCCTCCTGTGGACACGATGGTCGCTGCTCGCGGCCACCTTCATCTGGGGCACCACTGGGCTGCCATCCTTGCCCTGGTGAGCCACCCTGATCTGGTCGACTTGGTTGCCCTCCTGGCAGCGCTGGTACTGGTTGCCCGGGCAGAGGTGGTTGCCCTGGTTGCACTGGCCTCGTGTCACTTGGATGTGGTTGCCCTGGTTGCACTGGCCTCGTGTCACTTGGATGACCTGGAACACCACCTTTTCCTGGCGTTCCTGGTTGGGCTGGTGTACCACCTGTTCCAGAAGTTCCTGGTTGACCCGGCGTGCCATCTATTCCAGGTATTCCTGGTTGTCCTGGACTACCACCTGTGCCAGGCGTGCCTGGTTGCCCCGGTCTGCCGACCGTTCCTGGAGCCCCAGGCTGGATTGGCGTGCCACCCGTTCCCGGTGTTCCTGGTTGGCCTGGCCTCCCTCCTGTCCCTGGGGTCCCTGGTTGCCCTGGTATACCACCCGTTCCTGAAGTTCCTGGTTGGGCCGGTGAACCACCTGTTCCAGGAATTCCTGGTTGACCCGGCGTTCCTGGTCTTCCAGGTTGTCCTGGAGTACCACCTGCTCCAGGCGTTCCTGAATTTCCCGGCCTACCACGTGTTCCTGGAATTCCAGGTTGGCCCGGCGTGCCACCCGTTCCCGGTCTTCCTGGTATTTCAGGTTGTCCTGGACTACCACCTGTACCAGGCGTGCCTGGTTGACCCGGTCTACCAACCGTTCCTGGTGTTCCTGGCTGGGCGGGCGTGCCACCCGTTCCCGGTCTTCCTGGTATTTCTGGTTGTCCTGGACTACCACCTGTACCAGGCGTGCCCGGTCTACCAACCGTTCCTGGAGTCCCTGGCTGGGCTGGCGTGCCACCCGTTCCCGGTGTTCCTGGTCTTCCTGGTTGAGGTGGGGTACCACCCGACCCTGGCATTCCTGGCTGCCCTGGCCTACCTTCTGTTCCCGGCGTTCCTGGTTGACCTGGCCTACCTCCTGTTCCTGGGGTCTCTGGTTGCCCCGGTCTACCACCCGTTCCCGAAGCTCCTGGTTGGGCCGGTGTACCGCCTGTTCCAGGAGTGCCTGGTTGACCCGGCGTTCCTGGTATTCCTGGTTGTCCTGGAGTACCACCTGCTCCAGGCATTCCTGGATTTCCCGGCCTCCCACCTGTCCCTGGAATTCCAGGTCGGCCCAGCGTGCCACCTATTCCCTGTGTTCCTGGTATTCCTGGTATGCCTGGTTGTCCTGGAGTGCCACCTATTCCAGACGTGCCTGGTTGCCCCGGGATACCACCAGTTCCTGGAGTTCCAGGTTGGCCCAGTGTGCCACCCGTTCCCGGTGTTCCCGGTCTTCCTGGTTGACTTGGTGTACCACCCGACCCTGGCCTTCCTGGCTGCCCCGGCCTACCTTTCGTTCCAGGCGTTCCTGGTTGACCCGGCCTACCTCCCGTTCCTGGCGTACCTGGATGACCTGGTATGCCAACTGTTCCTGGCGTTCCTGGTCGACCTGATGTGCCACTCGTACCAGGCGTGCCTGGTCGACCGGGTACTCCACTCGTTCCCGGCGTTCCTGGTCGACCTGGTGTTTCTGGCCGGGCCGGGGCACCACCCGTTCCTGGCCTGCCTCCTTGTCCTGGCAGTCCTGCTTGCCCACCTGGCCCGGGTTGTACAATTTGAGAGGCGTGACTTTCTTCGCAGGGGGGTGCTTGATATGGCCAGTTGCATACACTGTACCTTTCGTCGAATACGAGTCCTTTAGGGCAGTCGAATTCGTAGACATCAAAGGCACCTGTGCCTTCGCGCCTCACACAGCGATAGAATCTGTAACAGTTCTGGGGGTTGCGATAAAAGCCTTCTTTAGGACATGGCAAGTTTTGGTTTGAAGGAGTTCCCTGTCCCGATGGTGAACCACCCTGTTGACCTGTGATGGTTTCATTGCCCCATGGTCTCGCGTTGCCAGGTCTCAGTTTACCCTGACCGCTTCCCCCAGGTTGCTGGCTACCTCCAGGACTCTGTTCAGGCCAACCCTGCGGTTGTTGCGGTGGCGCTCCTCCGAGCTGTTCACCTGGTGTGGCACCCTGCTGTGGCCACCAACCCTGCGGTTGTTGCGGTTGCCCTCCTCCAGGCTGATCACCTCCAGCGCCCTGCTGTGGCCAACTCTGGGGTTGTTCAGGGAATGTTGGTTTCTCGGATGGGCTGGGAGCCGCATTCTTGCACCGTCCTTGCACGGCGTACGGGTAATTGCATGTGCTTTGCGCTTTGTCCCACACTAACGACTCTCCGCAGCTGAAGATGTAGACGACGTAGGAGCCAGCACCGCTATAGACGCACCTGTAGAACTTGTTGCAATCGTTTGGATGCCCGAAGAAACCTTCTCTGGTGCACTGAGGCACTTCCTGGTTTCCTCCTTGACCACTCCACGAACCCTGTGGCTGGTTCTCGGTGTGACCGTGATTGATTGACTCCTGACCCTGGACTTGGGACCAGCCACTGCTACCTTGCGGAGCCTGCTCGATGTTTTGACGAGTGTCTTCTAGACCAGCTCCAGCCTGCGACCAGCCCGATAAGCCAGAAGAAGAGTTGCTCTGGCTCCAGCTATTATTTTGACGTTGGTTCGAGACACACTCGGATTCACTGTATTCGGCGTAGTTGCAGGTACCTGTCGCTTCATCGTAGACGAGCGTCTCGGGGCAGTTAAACTCGTAAATGCTGTAGAACGAGTCCTGCTCGTACCGAACGCATCGGTAGAACCTGCGAGAACAATGACGATTCCACTTAAAACCATATTCCAACACAGTACTACCATGCTCTTTCTTAAAACAAGTAATGAAAGTATTAGTTGGGCGAGTTCGTTCGAATTTACTTGAGACGTACCTAATTAACGCAAAAAATAAGCAAGGTGGAGGAAGAAGACCGGACGTGACGCTCCCTAGTAAAACTCAGAGATCTGTGTACAAGGCTGACGCAGTAGTGAGTGAATGAAGTTTAGCATATTCCAGAAGCATACGAGCGTAAGTTATTTAGGTTTTTTATGTTATGTTTTCTTTCAGTTTCAAACTATGGTGCGAGGTTAAGTGCTTCGAAAACAGAGCTGTTCCTAGTCAAGCCTTTCATGTCCGGAGGCCGTCGTGTATAGTAACTTTGTATGGGCCGCAGAAAGCGGGTGAATCTCACTACGGACATGTGCCACTCCTCCCACCGCGTACTTGAAGGAGGTTTTCAGAAGCCTAGAATGGAAACAGTTAGGGATAAGAGTTAATGGAGAATACCGCAGTAACCTGTGCTTCACCGATGACATTGCATTGCTGAGTAACTCAGGGGACGAATTGCAACTTATGATCATGGAGTTAGACAAGCAGAGCAGAAAGGTGGGTCTTAAAATTAATCTACAGAAAACGAAAGCAATGTACAACAAACCCAGAAGAGAGCAGCGCTTTGAGATAGGTATTAGTGCACTTCTAGTTGTAAAACACTATGTCTACTTAGGGCAGGTAATAACCGCGGATCCGAACCACGTGATTGAAGTAACTAGATGAATAAGCATGGGGTGGAGCACATTTGGCAAGCACTCTCATATTATGACAGGTAGATTGCCACTATACCTCAAGAGCAAGGTATATAACAGCTGTATCTTGCCGGTACTTAGCTACGGAGCAGAAACCTGGAGACTTACAGACGGGGTTCCGCTTAAATTGAGGACGACGCAGCGAGCAATGGAAAGAAAAATGGTAGGTGTAAACTTAAGAATCAAGAATAGAGCAGAGTGAATTAGGAAACAAACTGCGGTTCAAGATATCATTGTTGAAATCAAGAAGAATGAATGGACAAGGGCCGGGCATATAGCGCGTAGACAGTAAAACCGATTGTGATTAAGGGTAACTAACTGGATTCCCAGAGAAGGCGAGCAGGTCAAGGGGAGACAGAAGGTTAGGTGGCAGATGAGATTAAGAAGTTTGCGGGTATAAATTGGTAGCAGCAAGCACAGGACCGAGTTAACTGGGGGAACATGGGAGAGGTCTTTGTCCTGCAGTGGGAGTAGTCAGGCTGATGATGATGATGATGATGATGATGATGATGATGATGATGATGATGATGATGGGTTGTGTGACCAGCCTGTAATTCCCGTTTTAGTGTTGCATTGTTGTTCTCATTTACTGTTTTGTTTCTGACTGGAGAATTGGGGCCATGGACCTCATCAAGCCTTGTTGTGTTTTTGTGCATAGTTTTCAACATTGTGTTGAAATAAACTAGATTTGATTTGATGTCTGCTCTCGCGTACTGGCGAGCGTCTCGGAGACGCTTCAAAAAGCGGAGCTCTATCCTTCTCCTATCGTCTATGGGAAGCATCTTCGTCCCCTCGGTTCGTACTTTCTCCTCGTTAATAATCAAACATTCTTTTCCTTGACTACTTTTCACGTTGTCATTGTCTGGAGCTTCCCCAGCCCCATTCTTTTGGCCCCCATAAGACACAGATGGCTCTCGCAATGCTACGCACAAGTTCTCAGATTTGGGCTCTTCACGATGAGTCGTGCACGACGGTCCACTTCTGCTGTTCCTGGTGCTCACCTGTTGCAGTCATAAGGGTGCGCGTGAAAGCCGTCTCGTCGACAGGGCAGCGCCTGGCCGTCCCTGAAGCTGGACTTGACGGGCGCCCGGAAAGGGTGCATGGGTCGGTGCGGCGCGTACGCCGGGCCCCGGGACACCTGGTTGAAACACGGGTCGTCGTAGTGAGGCTCGACGCACATGCGGCTGTACTCGTCGAATGCTGTCCCCTCGGGACACCCGAACGTGTAAAGTGTGAAGACGCCAGGCCGGTTTCGCACCGGCGCACACCGGTAAAAGCGGCCGCAGTGGTTGGGGTCACGGTAGAAGCCCTCCTGGTAGCATGGGTAGCCTGCGTTCACACACACAAAAAAAAAAACACGGAGACATTATTCGGGAAAGGTAAGAAACTGGATTAGTTAAGGCGAAGAAAGCCTTGGATGTCTCATGAAATGCGAAAATTGATAATCGGTAACGTCCCTCGTTAGGGGCGTCAACCCAAGAGATGCCAAAAATCATCACGTGATGACGTGCCCATGTGACGTCATAACGATGTCCCGGATTACTATAATTTGTGTCGTCAACATAGCGTCACGTCACGTGATGAATTAATCACATGACATCGTAAATTTTTGAAAGGTGGGACCATAACATTACAAAACCACGTTATGTGCAGTAACCTATAGGAGTGCTGTGGGGTTGGGTCAACACATCGACTGAAAAAGAATGGACCATGGAATCGGCAATGCAAAAATAGAGTCGTCTACAAACTTTAGTTTTTTTACGTGCGAACCCAACAAGCTTATCAGAGAAGTTGTGGCCGCGCTCTAGAAATAATGAAGTCGCCAATAAAAACAGCGCTTAGTATGGAAGTACAAGCGATACTTAAATATGTACAAATCTTTAGAGAGTGTTCAGACGAGCTCGTTCGTACAGATTCATTAGAAGTAACAACACTCAATGAAGACAAAGGCCACCAGGCGCGAACAAGGACGTGTATTGGCCTCTCTATATACGTTGACGCACAACAAACCAACTGTTGGCAGTCAGCGCACGTCCTCGTTCTCGCCTCGTGTGTTTTTTTGTGTTTATCAGGCGCTGTTTTTTCTAATGTCCTATCTATGAATGCTCAGTGGGTTACGAAAGTTCGAATTGAGAGATAACAGTAAAGTCCACCCGCATGCGATACTGCCACTAACACATGAAACGAACACTAATGTAAAATAGCAATCTAGAGTGAAAGCACAATGTATGACAACGTCCAAACGACATTATTATCAACAGCAGTGGCCTACCTACCGATAAATTAAGGTAAATATACGAGAACACATGTGCCACGAGTAGAACATTTGCAAAATAATCCCGATTACGTGAGAGGTACCATCTACAATTAATCACTGGAAATCAAACCAGCTGCACTAAATAAAGAACTCTCCGTGCATCAAGAGACGTAACAAAATGCCACTTGTTCGTTTCCGTTTGATTCATGGAAAAAAAGAGTCGCCGAACGTTACTATGAGGAATGGCGCAAGTGGTTCAAAAGTTCAATTTTCGCCTGGTCGAACTGGACAGGTCATGCCATTTAGGGCCATGCCATTTAGCTGAACCAAGCACGCCTACCATCTAGGAGGCCGTGGTAGGTTAATGTTCAATGGCAGTTGTTGCTGCTGTGGCTACTTTCGTTGTGCTGCTACTAGTGTCGGCGGCTGCGCAGTAAAGCCGGGCAACGTTGTGGACGGCAACATTGACGTGAAAGTTTCCACTTTGAAGAGGGTGATTTGAAGTGTTCGAACGCGATTCGAACCACGAAAACGTGATTTTATTTCAAAATAAGCACTTCCTTGGCACAAGAAAAGCACTACGAGGTTGCGGGACCACTATTTCAGCAAGGTTACACAGGCTCCCAGACATGCTTGATCTGCTAGCGTGCCCGGAGGGACTACGCCGCTCGCCATCGGAGCGCAGGTTCGAATACCACCTCGCCAAAGATCTTTATTCGGTTTCATATATTTCCTTTCCTCGACCTTCTGTTCACGTTGCTAGACGATACATGATGACGTCATCGGTTGGTGAGGTGTGTGCAGAAAACTGTGCACACCGACCCGTTTAAACAGCTTCAATGTTAGAGAGAGAGAGAGAGCTCGAAGCGGTGACAGGCCGTGACACTTTCATATGACAGAGGCGGGACGGTCGCCGTCAAAGGCAGAGGAAAGACGACGCCGTCAGCCGCCCGGTATAGAAAGCGCTCGACGGCGGTAAGTCTCGCGTTGAGGCGGCGGCAGCGACGCCGTCAGCCCCAAGGTCTTCGGGACAGCTAGTCGCGGAGCTGTCCGCGGGGGTGACACGTGGACGACGCCGAAAAAACAAACAAACAAAAGGATTGAAGCAAGGCTGCACTAAGCACGAAGTGAAAGTGAGGGATCGTAATCGTGTATGCTACTGCATGCGTTTTAACTTTATAAAAATACTAAAAAGTAAACGATCTTTAGCATATCAGCAAATTACAATTTCGCCATACAGAAAAAAACCATTCTTGCCGCGGAATTACACTCGGTAAGCGCGAAAACGTAGCGAAAGAAATTGCTGGTGGTGACGCCGCCTCGAAGTTCTCACACCACACGGCGCGATGTAATAGATTTTGACGGCGCCTAGTACATCATGCGCAGTTCCTAATCAGTAAAAATGTAGTTTATTGCTCTCTGAAAGAGTCATAGGCTTAATATATCGAGTTTCAGGTAAATTTGTTTAGCCATGTCGCCAAAATAGAAATAAAATACACATTGAAGTCCGTAACGTCACATGAGGAGATTGCGGCACAAAACTTAAAAATAATACATTGAACTCGAGTTTATTTTTCTCTTTAGTAAACATATGACGGCGACATTAATGACATTAGGGTTCTCAGAGAACAAGTTATCTATCAAAAACTATTCATTCAGCCATCTTAGTGTTCCATTAAAGAACTCGTGAACAACGTCTGAAAAAAAAAGATCAAAAAAATAGGTGCGTTATTCTCTCATAGCATTTCCAGTTTCTATAGGCAGAAATCGTCTTTTCACAAAGTGTAATGAGGAAACTAGTTCTCAATTCCTTTACACAAGAGAATTACTAGTTTCAAATCGACTACTACCATGCTTTTGGCCATGAAGTCACACGCCCGTTCTGTATTGCCTCAAATGGTTCTCGTGCGCCAATGACTGATTTCGCTTTGTTCTGTGGAAGAAAGTAAGAGTGGAAGGACTTGTAACCAAGCCCCTAAATTTTTACTTTCTTCCTTCACTTACAGCGAGGGTCTCGTACTGGCAGACTCGATGCCTTCCGGTAGAATGCGATGGATTGTTGGCCAGCCGCCAGCTCGTAATAAGGTCACGTGTCACGGGACGCCAACAGGCCGAAAAAGAGTGTTCCACACTGAGCACATCGACTGCAGTGGACGGCGGAACGACCGCCGCTGTAGCTCCGCATAATCAGACGTGTTATCGAAGGTCGCAGACTCGGTCCCTTCCAGTGGTAAGTTTCTGTTCGTCTACTTTGCTTTCATCACATTCACATTACAATTACCGATAACATCGCCTATTCTTTCTTCGGCCTAATGGTCTGTTAGCTCCGATTAATAGTCGCTCCGTCTTGCGCTTTTTCGACAGTGCAAACGGATATCACAGCGTGTGGACGAAAAGTGCGAAATCCTGGTAGGCACAACGCCTGGTACTAATATTGTACTTGCGTTTTATTAAGAAATAAACGCTAAAGAGGTATCCCATGAGAGAAAAAAAAAACCCTCTCTCGTCTTTGGGTTCAGATCAACAGAACCGACAGAGTAGAAAAAGAAGGAAATGGCTTGAATGTTTCGTGTTTGAGCCACCTTAGGCAAATGTATGTATGTCTGTGACATTTAACCACGGAGGCCATTAGTCTTTGCAGAGCAAACACAGAACTAGCATCATGATAAAGCAGAAAGCGCGTTCTTCGTTTTCTTCTTCCTCTTCGACTACTTCTGCACCATCTGCTTCGCTTTCACAGGACATGTGCACCGCTTTGTCCGGTGTGGAATGCAATAACTTTGATCGGCCAGCGAACAAAGAGAGAGAAAAACAGGAGAGGGAAAGCGAGATAAGAAAGATACAACGACAGAAAGAGATAAAAATAAAGAAAAAGCCAGAGATAGAAAGGGAGAGAGAAAGACCCTGTACAGAAAGATAGAAAGACCGAGAATAACAAATGAATTGGTAGAGAAAAACAGGAATAAAAATAAACAGAAAAATATACAAAAACAAATACAGAAAGATAAAACGGAAGAAAAACAAAGAAGGTCACCCCTTCAGTCTTGGCACCACTAGGGTGAAGCTGAAGTGATTTTTTTATTTTATTTTTATGTAGTAAATTCTATGCGAAATTCTGCTGAACTAACGATGACTGTGTCCAGCCATTGAAGAAAGAGCAATAATCGGCGTGTCCCTTAACGGTGCCGCTGGCGTCATTATTATGCAACGGACAGCTGCGCTAGTCGACACCGTCTTACATAGCTGGGCGTGTTGCGGTCTCTTGACCTCCAGGCCTTCGCAAGCAATGCGAAAGGTGACAGGGCGAGCCGCTTTGACTCGACCTCCAAGAGTGCTTGCTGTCATCGTGTGGATGCGGCGTCGACTCGTGGTTTCACGCTCTTAAGGGGAAGGTTTTGAAGACGAGCCAAGACGAGGACGCACGGTTTGGGGGCGTACGTCTCTGCTGAACCACGCGTGCATGGCCTTCGTGGGGACAGCCGAGTTTCGACATGATGCGGGTTTGGGGACGATGGACATCGTTTTGGAGGGTGACGTGCGAAGTAGTTGTACTTAAATTTTAACATTGACGCTGTTTGAGCTAGCCGTAACTTGTGCGGAACACTCGCATGATAAACGCCGGAAAATTGGCTAATACTCACCCCAGCTACACTCAAACAGAAGTTAGCTTCGGAGAGATGGCGGCAAGCCGAAGAGCCCGAAGCGATGGAAGGCCGTAGATGTGCGAACGCTTGATTTATACGCGAGTTTAACTCGAAGCTCTCAACGTTGAGAATCAACGTAGAAACAAGCCAGCAAAACCTAGCAACGCCCATCCTTGAAACAAGGCCCAGACACAACCTAGAAGCACCCTGATTAGCCTTTCGATGTTTCAGCAGGCCTTGCATGGCTTAGTGCAGGCTTTATTTATTGTTTGTTAGTTGGTATTAAGACGATCGAGACCAGGGACTGCTTCGAGCGAATACGGTTTATTAGAAGAAGAAAGAAGAGTGCTGCCTGGAGCCAGCGCGTGCTACTTCTCTTCTTCTAATAAACCGTATTCGTTCGAAGCAGTCCCTGCTTATTGCTTATTTACATACTCTGGTATCCCTTTTGCGCCATACACCTCTGTATATTATTTTTTACTTGCAGTTTTGTTCTTCAAGTCCTCACACAAGCAGTGTTATCAAGCTGTTACACTATATACCACGCAGTTAAATCACTGCTTGTTTTACTTCTTAAAATAATTTTCATGTATAGCAGCCCCCCTGAGAGTCGCTAACTTCGGGAAGCTCTCTATATATGAACATTAGTCACTGTAGCTAACTAACATCGTTGATTATTAAAGTTAACTTTTTACGTCTTCCAAAGGTAGTCCTCGAAGCAGGTCCTAGTTTACGCCATGCGGTGAGCGCTGCAATAAATCATATCAAAGTGATTGTTACCGCATCCCTTGGAAGCGTCACTTGGTCGCTGGTGGGTCACCTCACTGGCATACGCCGCTTGTGCTTCCTCAGAACGCTTTTATTTATTGGATTCCCGTGGTACAGCCTATCTGTTATATCTAACACGTGCAAAACGAACCTGCGCACAATTAAAAATATTCAAGCCCAGGCTCTTAGGATATGCCTTGGTTTACCCCACTGTGCATCGACAGCTGAAACCATTGCCATTGCACAGGCCTACTCGATCATGACACACATCACCGTTGAAACGATGCGTACGTACCTCAGGCAACATTCTAGGAATCCTTCCCATCATTTGGCAACCCTCGCTACTGAAAGGCCTCGTACGAAATTTAGTGCAATTGTCTGTGCACATCGTGCACCATTTACGTCAGGTTTTACGCCTGCGGAGAAATTGATGTATCCTCCGTGGTGCCCGACACTTCCGCAAGTACGTCTTTCAATTCCAGGAATACAGAAAAAATTAAATTTGCCTTCGTCAGCCCTAAAACAATTGAGCTTGCACCTCCTGCACGAAATGTACAATAACCACGTGCACATATACACCGATGGTCCAACCACAGCGTCTGGTTCTGGCGGTGAGGCGGTGATTCCAGCTAGAGGAATCACTCTGCGAATAAAGCTGTCACACGTCAGTATACGTCTACGGCGGCAGAACTAGCGGCTTTGCGTGGAGCCCTGTAGAGAACATCAAATCCCAAAGACAGAGTAAATGGGCTGTGTTTTCCGACTCGAAACCAGCCCTACTGAGCATGCAGTCAGTCGTTCGACGAGGTTGCCATGAACAATTAACTTACGAAGTTGTCAAGCTTGTTCACCACGTCACAGAAAAAGGCCACGAGGTCAAGTTTCAGTGGATACCTGGTCATTGTGGGATCAGTGGCAATGATTCCGCTGACAACGCGGCTCGCACATCCCACCAAGAAGAGTCCACCCTTCCGATTCCTTTGTCAAGGACAGACGCTGCAAAGCAACTTCGTCACCTGGCACGTAGTCTGTGTCTGCTGGAGTGGAACACCCCAAGTATAAGACATACGAGACTACCAAATAAACCCTCGACTGGAACTTCGACCTCCATCAGAATTTCGTAGACGTGATGCTTCGCTTCTTTGTCGCCTTTGGTTGGGGGTTGCCTTCACAAAAGCATATACAACCCTCATTGGATTGACCGACAATGCGGAATTCGACGTCTGCGGCACCGAAGAAGACATCGACCATCTGATATGCCATTGCCCTCGATTTGCCTCTGAAAGACAGAAGCTTTCGGACGCATTGCGACAATTGGATGATCGGCCACTCTTTATGCAGATGCTACTGGAACACCATCCTCGTCTTTCGTCGGCTCAAAAGGCAGTCAAAGCCGTCTTGTGCTTTTTGAGGACTACAAGCCTATGGGAACACCTTTAACTTTTGTGTAGTGCCACCACTGCATACGCGTCAGCCAATTGACTGACAATCCTTTCTCTCTCTCTCTCTCTCATCTTTATAGTCCTCTTCCCATTCCCCCAGCGTAGGGTAGCAAACCGGGTATGTGCCTGGTTAACCTCTCTGCCTTCTCTCTTGTTGTTCTTGTCCCTCCTCACTTCCTCACCAAAACAAAAATTGGCCTCTGTGGTGTAACCGGCCAACCCCTCTCAAGTGAAGCTGTTTATTGGGTAAATTAGAGATCATTCGGAAAGGCGTTCATCCTGCAGTGGACTAAAGCAGGCTGATAATGATCATGATGATGATGACAAGAAATGTGCCCTCGATTGATTGATTGATTTGTGGTGTTTAACGTCCCAAAACCACCATATGATTATGAGAGACGCGGTAGTGGAGGGCTCCGGAAATTTTGACCACCTGGGGTTCTTTAACGTGCACCCAAATCTGAGCACACGGGCCTACGACATTTCCGCCTCCATCGGAAATGCAGCCGCCGCAGCCGGGATTTGAACCCGCGACCTGCGGGTCAGCAGCCGAGTACCTTAGCCACTATACCACCGCGGCGGGGCAAGAAATGTGCCCTCACTCACCTTGTGAAGTTGCAGAGGCTAAAGAAACCACAAGGACTGCGGCGGCAAGCAGCGCCCCTGGCGTAGGCCGCTGTAGCCGCATGGTGCAGCAGCCTGCGAGCAAAGAAAAGTGCACCGCTAGTGAATCTCTCTCTAGACACACAAGTTAAGCTTAGCGAAATATCAAGTACACATGAATGCTGATGCTCAACTAAACTTCATCGCATCAAACCGCCGGTAAACCAAAACTACAAACCGCAAATAACCGCACAAACGCGATTGATTAACTGTCGAAATGAAATGCGTAGACGAATTGAAACGACTATGCTATGCTTATTTTTGTTCAGGATAACGATAACTACAGTTCGGTACGCTATCAAGGGGAACGCACCGTGTGGTTTCGCACGTAGATTGTGGTGATATGGTGCAAATACCCAAACAGAAATTTCTCATTTTTAAAGGCGTTTTCACTAACCAGGGTTCCAGCGATTGGCAGTGTGAGTGCGAAGTCATTCATTTCATTTTCATTTATTTATACTGTCAGCCCTTTGCGGGCTATTACAGGAGTGGAGTTATTGAGTTCCACGCAATGACACAAATTTGCAGGAAAGTTTTGACTGATAACATATGTGTGGTGACTCATCTGTGCCTTATGGCGTTGGTCCCCGGGTTCGATCCCCAGACCAAGGCGAATTTTTGTCGCTTTCTTTTTAAGTTATACTTATGTTCATTGCGGCTTTGTGCTAAAGTGGAGGTGGTTGTGAATTTTCAGTTTCATAACCCTTTCTCAATGATGCGGGAGTACGCGGAACTGAATTTCGTCCCAGTCTGAATCTTGAATTTCGTCCCAATCGAAATGTGGTCACCTTGACCAAGAACCGAGCCCGTCACCTCGGGCTTTGCGAATCGTTTGTATACTCGCACACCCTGTAAAGTTGTTTTCACCTCGTTGCACCCGCGCTACCTGCAGGCCGGTTTGACTGCGGAGCAGGCAGATGCCGTTAAAGTTAACGCAGTCACCGCCGTGAAAGGGTTGGCGCTGTATTCCCGCCGTGGCACTGCCTGGCGACAATTTGACCTCGTTTTTTTTTTCGCTTTTTTGTTTTTTTTAAGCGAAGATGTTTTAGCTATCCGTAATTTGTGCTTGCTCGCGCAAAATACCACAAGCCCATCTACAATGTATTCTACTCCTCTGCTCAGCTAGGTGGAGCATGGAAAGCAAGAGAAAGAAAGAGATAAAAGAGATAGAGCTAAAAATAAAAATACAGTAAAAAAGAGGAATGTGAAAAGAGAGAGAAAAAATAAAAATAAAGATGAAAATAGAAAGAGAAAATAAAGGAGTAAATGCATAACAACGTGGAAATACAGAGAAAGAAATGGACACAAAAACAAAGATAGAAGAAATGGGGACAAACGAAGAGAACAAGAATAGGAAGAAAAAAATAAAAAGGGCAAGAAGGAGAAATGAACATAAATAACGAACACGAAAAAAGAAAGACGGAAAAAAACAGAGAGAAAGAAAGAAGGAAAACATAAAAAGCTGCCCTCCTCATTCAGGCTTGGCATTACTAGTAAGAAGCTGCCATTATCGTTTTAAAGTTTGTTACCATAGTTGTTTGTACGATTCATCTAGCTCCAAAGGCCAAAAGGTTGCTAATAATTTATATGTCTATAGCACTGAGGTGTGGACGGCATCCGGCGTTTTTCGAGCGTAAGAAAGACTCGACAAAGTAAGAATAGAAAAGGCAGGGAAGTCGATCAAATGGGCACGGAATATGCAAAGCATGGAGTATGCAAACGACGAGAATCGGTCATTCAGGTCGATGCTTTTCAAGATTTGAACAAGTGGCGGGAGTAGACTTCGTGCGCCCGCGACGGGTGGAGGCTACGATACGGCCATTCGTGGTTGTCTCGGCATCAACTTCCGTCCAGAGAGGTAGATAAATAAAAAGAGGGTGTCGATGCGCGCGTCTCACCAAGACGATGCTCGCAATGAGTACGGGAAAGAGAACGGAAATAGCAAGGTCGAGAAAGCGCACTGTACGTACATTCCGTGCAAATAGTACGCATAAAAACACCCACCATTCTATAGCGCCAGCACACACCAATGTGGGGCCGTGTGTGTGTGTCTTCATGTGTTTGCTCGTGCATCCCGTTTGTACGAGCTTCCTTGTAATTGAGTAATGTAAAAACCAACAAACCCGCTTCGCGACATGTTCGCACCAGCGAGACAATCGCCAAGTCCCTGCACCTGTCGTTCGCTCATCGCATTGTTTCCATTCGTCAATATTCCGCTTAAAGAGTATAACCCCGTCGCGACCTCTTAATCCCAAATAGCCTCGTTGAATGGACAGTCGTGACCCCTTCCTTCGGACGTAGAATACGACAATGTATTCAACTTTCTCTTCGCCCTTCCATCGAAAGACGAAGTGCTAAAGAAACGCAACGAACGCACGTGACATAGACGCACACGGTATTTAAGAGCGTGACACAAGCGCTGAACGCGTGCGTATATAGCTGTCCCAAGTCGCGGGCTGTATTCGCAAGGATGCCATGGCCTTGACATCTAAGCGTTCGCCCCCGGTGAACCCTCGTTACACGGACGATTCGCCTCGTCGGCGACGACGAATCGGACAGCATCGTTGTGTGTGCGTGTGTTTGCGTTTGCCAGAGTGTATGGCTAGTTTCGTGCACCTGGATATGGGTTCGCGCAAGTCTTAACCTTACACGACAACTTTGTGTACTGTATCACGAGAAACTGAGGTGCCGTGTGTTTCGAACGTATTGTACGGGCCCAAAAGAGCACGCTTTATGGAATCACTCTTTAAAAAAGTGATTTCGTTAAAGGTACTCTGAAATCCAAAAATGCGTCAGTCCAACCTCGCCGGTTATACGTTGATAACTTTAGCATGGTTAGTTTCACTGCCATGTGTTTAATAATAGATTTTGTAATATCAGTCCCAAAAGTAGCAAGCACTTTCGAATTTCCCGCCGAAATCTCCCATGGTTCACCGCGAGGCTCTAGGGTGCTCGGCTGCTGAACCAAAGGTCGTGGTTTCGATCCCGGCCGTGGTGGTCACATAGCGTTGCCACTTCGAAGAATCCCGTATATGGTGGGTCACTTCTGGAAGGGATTTGCCATCGGGATTCGAACATATAGCCACCATCACAATTACTAAAATCTGGACGCCGTTTCCGTAACATAAAGTTTTCGTTTGATGATCATGTTTCAACACAACGGTGACAGCATGGGGTGCCTCAAGAAAACACCACTTCATACCAGTATGCCTGAGAAGTTTATAAACCTACTTGATAAGAAAATAAAAGAAAAAATATTGGATGAAGACAGTCGTGTGCCAGACGGGCCTTTGGTAAAAGGTCCGGGGGCCGCGTGTTTGGCATGATTCGGTTCTGACTGGCACGGTGGGCAAATCCCCGCGACAAGTCAAAACTTTGTTTGGTTAGTTTAGCGTGATTGTTGCTCGCATAAAAATGAGTTAAACAAAGAAATTAGTATGAATAATCTGCAAGAACATGTTGGGTTATTATTGCCAGCAGTGTAGCGCGCTGCACAGAACTGCGATGTATGCGACCAAGCCCACGCTGTTGACCCTGGCCTTCGATGCGTGCACAATCGTTGTCTGTTGTGTGGCATCACAAAAGGCGCGTTGCCGTCGTCTTCTGTGAAAAAAAAAAAAAAACACGTGTTGATTGCGCACCGCCTTAGAACAAAAGACGGGGGGAGTGTCATCGCGAGAGAAGAGCGGAACCGGCAGCCTTCCAGCTCGCATGTCCGACGCGTTGCAACAACCTTCGAGTCTATCTATGTTCGTCGCTTCGGCTTGACGCCATGGAGGGTGTTCGCTCTCACCTCTTTTGTTTTCGCAGCGTCATTCCGAGACGCTCCTTGTTGCTTCTTTCCGTTAGATATGAAAGTGATTGAAGAAGTGTCGTTCGCTTTAAGCATGGGTACGCGTGCATGAGCACAAGTTGATGAGAAATAAAATTATGCGCGGATGGTACGCCTTCATTATGAGTATACGTCTTATTCCTCCTAACCTAAACGACACTTTTATTACTCGGGCTTGATCGTGGGCAGCGCGAACACTGGTGAGGCGAAAAAAAGAAAACAATGTGACCACGCAACCTCATGACGCTATAATACGCCATTAATCACTAAAATTTGTGACGTCATCATGATGTCAATTTGTGACATCATGCGAAAGAAAGGAAGCTTACTACGATTTTCCCGACCGGGCAAAGGCTCCCAACTTTTCTTTATTAAATAAATGGGCGCGTATGCTCATATATTCACATATATGATTCTCGCTACCAATTAAAATTATCATTTACGCTCAACTGTGGAGAGAACATTTCGCTGTAATCTTATGGGTGGCATCTAGCGATTTCGTGTTACAGTGACGTCTTTTTGTAACATACATTGCGGCTTTTCTAGCGTTATTTATACGTAGCTGAACCAGCAGATAGCTCGTCATGACCAAAATAGGAAAACTGTAGTTTGAGCACCTTTTGCTTCGGAAAAAAATCCCGGTTTAATTTACCTCTGAACAAAATACTTCTTTTGGTGGTGCATACGGAAACTCTTATGAATCCATAGTTTTGTTTTGTTTTTGGCACAAAGGAAGACTACCATACTGACGCAATAAATCATCTCAGTTCAGAGTAGCGCTGTGTTCTGCCTTCTTCCTTGTGGCAGGGGCGTAGCCAGAAATGTTTTCGGGGGGAGGGGGGATCACCTCTTTGATTTAGGGCTTGATTTAGGTGCGGGCTCCGCCTTGAAATGCTAACTTCTTGCTCTGTATGCTATGAGGAATCGAGTAAAAACTTTATTGACAATATCAGGCGGAATTTAGCGGGGTGGCGCTACAAGACCCCCGCCTAGGTGACGGCATCGAGTCCTTGGACACGGGCGGTTTCCTGGGCTTGCGGGATGGCCCACAGTTGATGGATAAAAAATTTCACAAGGGAGGAGGGGGTGGAAGGGGAAGGGTCACGATCTCAATGTACTACCTCCTGACTACGTCCCTGCCTTGTGGTGTCATTTTGTGCTAAAAAAAGCACCATCTGAGATTAGCATCAACTAGCCCGCCAAC